TCCACCCCTGCATCCCTGCATCCATCCATCCATCCATCCATCCATCCATCCATCCATCCATCCATCCATCCATCCCTGCATCCATCCGATCATCCATCCATCCATCCATCCATCCATCCATCCATCCATCCATCCCTGCATCCCTGCATCCCTGCATCCATCCCTGCATCCATCCATCCATCCATCCATCCATCCATCCATCCATCCATCCATCCATGTATCCATCCCTGTATCCCTACATCCATCCATTTATCCATCCATCCATCCATCCATCCATCCATCCATCCATCCATCCATCCATCGTTCATGCACTGATGAGCACATACTGTGTGCCAGGTGCACTTGGACTCTAGAGATAGGTGAACTAGGAAAACTTTTGTACCCTTTTATACATGAAGGTAGCCTAATCCCTATGAGCTTTGTGTAACCCCTTCCAACCTGGTGATTAGCTCAGAGCCTGGGACTTCAGAGAGCATTTATGTATGGCTGTTGGATAAATGAATCATTTGAATTAAGGAAATAAAGTAAGAGAAGTCAACACTACTTGGAGGTAGGGAAGGGCTCTGGGCTGACATGATCCATTCTTGAAGGCCACTTCCCTTGGCCCCAGTGGGCAGTGGCTTTGCTGTACAAAGTATGGTGTCGCTAAGGTGGTACCTTCTCCAGAGTTATATCCTAGAATAATGTGAGGGATCCAGCAGCTTTATGTCAAACATCTGATAACTTTCTAGGACACAGCATGGCAGGGACAAGCCATTGTGGGCTGGCACAGATCCAAGGGGACTTGAGAGGAGGTGTCTGAGTCTTGGCCCCCAGCTTCCAGGTTCTCTGTCTCCCCACATGGCTCCTGATAGGCCCCTGGCTTTGGACCCTGGACCAGGAGAATGTGCAAGGTGTCCTCTCATCTCTGCATGGAATTGGGGTACAGTGAGTAGAGGGTGGCAGGAGTGTGACAAAGGTGGTATTCTGCTAAATGGTGCTGACAGTGCTTTGGGCAGGAGAGGGAGCCCTCATTTGTGTTGGACCCTCCCACTCCACTGTGCCCCAACCCAGTGCCCAGTGCAAAGTGCTCATTGCCAATTCACTGCTCGAAGCTCATTTGCCTACCCCTGTGATTGAGCGCTTTCACATGGCCGCTTTCCAGCTCCCTGTACCACATGCAGTTGGGAGGAGACAAACAGTCAGCTTTCACAAGCCAGAGTGAGTGGACTCCAGCACACCACTGGCGAGCTGCCTTGCCTCTTGACATTTTCTTGTGCTGTTCTCTCTGTGGAATTCTTCCCCTCCCTCGGCAGCTCCTACTGATCCTTCAAGGCCCGGTTCAGGCATCTGTTCTTCTCTACAACCTGCCTCAGACTTTCTACTTTCTACCCATCACTTAGTATGTAGCATCACCCTATGCTGTGCCCCACAACTATCTGGCCAGGCTCATAAAAGCTGCTGTATGGGAGCCAGAGCTAGATGCGAAGAGAAAGGCCTCGGTCCTAGTCATCTCAGGGTACAGTACTCTGCTTAGCACAGATGCTGGGTAAGAAGAGGTAACTGGGTGCCAAGAAATGAATGAAACCTGCCGGAAACTGTAGGGGTTGCAAGAGCAAGGCTAACCCTGACACTGGCAGCTTGTTTTGGCAAAAGCATGGCCTGCAGGCCCATCACCTGCCCCAGACCTGGGATAGGTGGGGCAGCCCTCCACAGCCCCGGAAGGTCTGGGGCCGCCTGGCTCCAAGGCTGGGTGGCTTGGTGCTGGTGCCCCTTTGGCACAGGGAAGCCTCTATTCTGTTGATCTCAGGCCACAACTAATTATCCTAATGGGTTTAAATGGTCCTAAATGTTCTTGGAGTTTGGACAGAGCCCATCTGGAGCCTGCAGGTGGGCTGGCTGCTGACAGCAAGGGGCCTGACTTCCGTTAGGATGTTGCAGGAATCTAGAGTGGCCGTTTGGGTCCGGCTGATGTGTGAGCCAGAGGCAGGCATGGAGTGCCAAGGCTGAGGACCAAAGGTCACAAGAGCAGTTAAAAGCTGCTGCCTCTACAGCTCTTGTGAGCCAGGCACTACTCTCAGCCTTCTACATGGCTGACTCATCAGCCCCCAGAGCTTCCCAGGAGAAGAAACCCACTTTGCAGAAGAAGAAACTGAGGCACAGAGGTTAGAGGACTTACTCAGTCTCCTACTACCAGTAAGCAGAGGAGGTGTCTCTGCACTGGTGCCAGAGTCTATGCTTTTAATCTTAATCATACAGCTTCTCACAGGTAGGGGCTGACAGGGACATCTTTGTGCCTTTTCCTGGAGACACACCTACAGCCTTCAGGTGTCTAGCTGTAGCACCAGTGTCTAGTGGGCTGGCCAGGCCAGGGCACCATGCCCTTGATCTCAGGGACTCCCACCTCTCCTCTTGCCAGGACCCCAGGGTACATTACCAGAGTGGTGAAGATGAAGTGGTAGTACTCAGTCATCATGCCCATGGCCATGGCCTGTGGGAAAGCACAACATTAGTCACCCGTGGGGATGCCCTGGTGACCCATCATTTCACCGCAGGTGAGAACTGGGGACAGACAGGCTGGGCTGTGGGCTGCGAGGCTAGCTCCTTGGAGTACTGAGTTCTCTGAGGAGGCTGAGTAGTGACAATGACTGGTTGGCAGAGGTTGGGGATTTCACACTGGACAGATCAAATGCAGGATTTGGGGCCACATGCTGCAAAGGTTCCCAGGTTTATAGAGTTGGGCAGGGCCCAGCTGTGATTTCAGGCAGTATCTCTGGACTTGCTACACTCAGAAAGGTACTGACACAGCAGCTGTAGCTGCTGCTTAAGTGTCTGACTACTCTGCCTACTGCTCTGGCTCCAGAGAGAGCCCAGCTCCCCAGCCAGGCCGGAGGACAGAGGCTGCCCTCAGCCAGGGGACAGAAGCACTGAGACCTCCGTGTTCTCCTTGTCCTATCTGACCACACAGCAGGCCACAGAGCTGCTGAGGGGTTATTATTCTACATCATCATAAAGTCTACATGATATATATTTTATCAGAAGACTGTAATCTCTAATACTAATGACTATATTGCATTTTCTATAGTTTCTCAGAATTCTGGGCCCATCCAGTGCTCTGGGGGATAATGTAACAGGCCAAGTACACCTTGAAACTGCTATAAATTCTGTCCCAGCCTGCAGCCTCCCAAACCCCACCAGGACCAGAAGGCTTCATGTGCAACCTGGCAGCAGCCCGCAGTGTGAACTGCTTTCAGTCCTGTGTTTAGCTGCGCACAGAAGCTCTGCTAGACGTTTTCCAGTCATCTGGACTTGGGAGTAAATTCTGCCTTTCTAGCTGGATGACCTTGGCCCCACTACTTTCCCCCTGGGCCTCAGTCTCCACACTGTTAACTGGATCTGGTAATTGTCCCCCTTTCCTAGAGTTAATAAGGAGTGACAGGGACCTGGCAGAGAAATGCTTTGGTAACTCAAAGTTGTGGCTGTCACCATCATTCCATTATGTAAGGTGGGAAGTCAGGGAGCACAAAGGACAGGTGGCTGGGAGAATTCAGGTTGAGGGATTTCTGGGGATTGTTTCCTTGGCAGCAATGTTGAGGATCCCCTGTGCCCAGTGCAGACCATGTGCCATGCACCAGGATAAAATCTGTTTTCCCTGCCTCACTGCAGAGCTGTCTGTACCAGGATCACTAACCCCACTGGCAGAGGAGGGAGCGTCTCTGGGGCAGGGCAGAGGCTACACACACCTTGAGAACTAGACTTTTAGCCTCTGTGAAGGAGCTTCCTGTGTGTATGGGGTGACAGCTGAGTCTGCCACTTGGCTGGGGCACCTTTTGAGGGTCCCCACTGGAGGAGGAGTTCCAGCTTCTCTAGGGTGTGAAACTCCCCTGACCCTGCTGAACACCTCTTCTCCTGAACCTGTGTCCCCCATTTACTACCTGCATTTCACTGAGGCATGTGTCAAAGCCCCACAGGACGCCTCCTTCAACCATCAAGGATACCTTCTGGGATGACATAGATGTCTTTTATACAAAATGTGGACTCAGAGCAGTGCCTTTGACTTTCTCTGCAGCACCCTTGGCTGTTGCCAGAGATTATGGTGTGATTTTCTTCGGTGGCTACAGTGCTTGACTATGGTCCCCAGCACACCAGGCTGAACTGCACTGGGAGTGGAGATCTGCGCTGGATGGTGGACCCTCCTGGCCAGCACTGCTGTGGAGCTGAGCAGATGGAGGGTCAAGGAACCTTGATGCACCTCCCATAAAAGGAGAGCAACACCATGTGCCATAGGCTTTGGAGAATGAGTCACTGGGGGAGACAGTGAGGCAGTCTGGGGCTGCTCCCGAGAATCTGAGGCTTCTGTGTTTCCTGGAGAGTTCTGCTTCTGGGTGGCATTGGAACAACTTAGCAGCCCACCTCCCCCTTGCATGTAGGTAGAAAGGGAAGGAGCATTTACTGGGCACTCTCAGGGTGCCAGGACTGGGTGGGACAGATCATCCAGCTGTCCTCATGCCAAGTCTAGATGTGAAGATCACCATGCTAGTTTTGCAGCTGGTGAAACTAAGCTCTGAGGCAAAATGACATGCAAAGTCACACAGCTAGGGCAAAGTAGTGCTAGAAGCCATAGAGCGCAGCTGGAACCCGGAAGGGGTGGTTGGGAGAAGCAGCCAGCACACCCTAGCTGCCCCTAGCTGCCCTTCCGCTGGCCTGCTTGAGGATCCCGTACCTGCTTGAGGATCTGGGCTGCCATGGTATGGCTGCAGTCAAAGATAATGCGGAACTCACGGCCGCGCTTCATCTCCTTGAGTAGGGGGCGTGCGTCGTCCGAGTCGATGGGCAGCTGGCGGATCTTCAGGCGGATGTTGTACCTTGATGGAGCCATGATGAGCTCCTGCAGCCGGATGAGCCCTGAGGGGCGTGGGGTGCAAAAGACACACGTGTGCATGCATGGAGACACAGCCACAGACATCAGGTCAGCAGAACTGGTAATGTGGCCCACAGGGATGTGTGTGGGTGTGGGGACACAGTGACAAGTGTCCTGAGACAAGCCTGAGTACACTTGGGAACAGATGTGTGCACCCAGACAAGGCTGCATATATGCCAAGACTGGCAAGCAGGACTGTACGTCTGCGTACAAATGCGTGTGTGTCTACATACAAACACATGGGTAGACACGTGCACACTGCTATGGATAGGACTTACGCTTGGTCTTATAGACACATGTGCTGATGTAGGCAAAGGCCTGCACACACATGAACGTGTGTACACGCGTATAGAGATTTCAACCCCAAGGCCCTGTTGACCATGCCCACTTTCAGCTCTCTAACCCAGAATGGCCATAGAGATAGCTTCGTGGAAACAAGGGGTTTAATTTTCCAGACTTCTCTAGCAAACTCGCCTCTGGCATATGGACATGAGAAGTGGCTCCAGCCTCAGCGGTACTGACACATCCAACTTTTGGGCTACCAGAGGTGCAGCAACCGCTGTGTCCCCCACCCCACGAGCAGGCTGCCTTGGTAAACCCTCTGCCTTCCTTCTTCCAGGTCCAATGTCGCATCCTCTCCAGGAAGTCTGATTCTACAGGTCTGCTCAGAAAACACTTCCTGCCCAACCTGCCATGGCCAGCTTGCTAGCCTTTTCCCTCAGCCTCCTTTGGCAGTTGCCTAACTCCTCTTGTCCAACTATGAGGACCCTGAAATTGGGGAGTGGGTCCCCATAATTCCTGGAGAAGGGCCTGGCCCTTAGGTAGTCCTCAACAGACATTTCCATAATTGGATTGACTTGCTGTTTTTCTCTCTCCACACTGAAAAATCCATCTTCCACTTTGGCATTTTGTAAAACTACTTAATCTGGGGACTTCTAGGGAAAACTGAATGTCACTTCCTGGAGACAAATGGCTTGCTTAGGTCTAATTAAGTTCGTTTCCTTCTCTATTTCAAGCCCTGTTCTTGCTGACTCCTCTTTGCAGTCTGGAAAGGAGTCTGCTTGTTGCTAGTCATGGCCTGGCTGTCCCTTCCCCCCGGCTCTGTGCCAGTCTTGGCTCATGGCTGCCTCCTGGCTTACAGTCCCAGCTCACTGCCAGCACTCTGATTTCCTCTGGGGAACAACTGCTCGCCCAACCCCAGTTTATGTGACCAATCAGTGCATCTTCTAGGAACAGGGATTGACTTGGAGATGGACACAGGACACGGTCGGCTCTATCAGAATGACTCCCAGAGCCCGTGTTAGAGAAAATGGTAGGAAACACCTCCTTTTCACTTAACTTCAAAAGAGAGGATGTAATCCGGGGGTCATCATATAAGACTTCCCAGTGGAGCAGAGTCAGAGAGAACAAACAGAAAGAAAGGAAGTTCTGATGATACTCATTTGAGCTTTTGGGTCAACCAGTACCTGAAGCTAAAATTACTCTGAACTTTCCAGGAAAGACTGCCAATACCTCCCCACCTACTACCCAACACACACACACACACATACACACACACACACACACACACACACACACACAATTTCTTCTTGAGCTAGTCTGTATGAATGGCTACAGTGTGCCATATAGGAACAGAAACTCCTCACGCAGTCCAACAAAGCTTCATCTCCCAAGCAATCTGGTATATAGCCTGAGTCTGTCTGTCTAAGTTGTCCTTCCATTCTTAAGCATGAGACATCTGATTACTGTCTGTCACCCCACTGTGCTGGGGAGGACAGGAGTATCTCCCAATGAGTTCCAGCACAAGCTTTGACAAGGCTTCTGTCTCGCTTCTATGCCACAGTCCTGACAAAAAGTTGTAGGAGCCTGCTGAAGGGCAGAAATAGAGGACAGCTGCGACTAGCCGTCGTCTCACTCAAAATCCTAGACTAGGCACAGTAGCTTGGAGAAGGGTCTAGAGTCCTAGACAGGTGTGGATCAAGCAGATTCCTCCATGCCTCCTAACACTGGACCTGAGGGGAGGAGGGGGATGATGTCAGCTGGCCTTGGCATAGGAGGGGCCACAAGCTAACCCAGTGGCACACTCAGTCCACTCCATCCTCTTCCCAGTGTATTCAGAAATTCTCAGTTGCCTTTGCTGAATGATGCTGACCTTCCACACCTGTTACCCGAGAGGCCCAGGGTACACAGACCACTCTTGGTTTTCAGACCATGCTTAGCATCAGTAGGCAGTGGGCTTTGGGGACCCGGAACACGAGGACAGGGACAGGATAGATGCCACAACAGAGGCCACTAGAGCTTCCTTGTCAGCCAAGCACATCGTCCCGTGTAATGCATGGTGACCCACATTCTCTAGCAGCAAATGTCAGACCTTCTTCCCATCAGTGTATTCCCAGAGGAGACCAGAACTCCTCTCACCCAGCCTGGCACAGAGGATGAGGCTGTCTTTGTTTGCCCAAGATGCGCTTTCCTTCCTGGCTGCTTCCCTAATCAATCCCTCTCAAAATATCTGCAGTGAATCATGGTTGTGGGAATCATGCTTTTCACTTACGAAGCACTTCTGCATTCATTACCCTATTTAACCATCTCCCAATCCTAGAAGGCGTATGGAAGAGCGATTTTCATTTCAATGTTGCTGATAAAGAAACTGGGAACTGCGGAAAGGAAGGGACCCTTCTAAAGTTTTGCCGTGCTAGGAAGAGGATCAAAAATTGAGACCAAATCTTTTGGCTCCTAGGCTGGGACCCTTTTCTTTACCTCACATTTTTTTCTAAACATTTCTTCTCATTTTTGAGGAGACATTTGTAAGCTGGACTTGGTGGCAGATGCCTATAATTGGAGGCTGAGGCAGGAGGATCACAAGTTCAAGCCCAAACACATGTTGGGCAGACCCTGTCTTAAAATAAAGTAAAAAGGGAAGAGGGTATAGTTTTGTGATAGAATACTTGCCTAGCATGTGACAGGCCCTAGGTTCAATTCCCAGCATCCACAAAAGAGAAAAGATTGTCTTTGTGTCCAGCTTAGTTTAGGAAGGCAGAAGTAGCACAGCTCAAAGGGCAAACAGTGGTTGTCCACTCAAAAGCCATTGTTCCTAAGGTAGATTGCAATGATGGCACCAGTTCTTTGCCTCTTCTGGTAGCCAAGCCCTTCATCATGGAACGTGGCAATGCCCGCCAGCCTTGTGGCTTTTTTTTCATCAGGGGAACGTTAGCAGGCATGACACAGGCAGCCTCCTGACATGGAAATATGTGCGCTGGCTTTGCTATGTCACTGCTCTCCATGGTCCTGCCTGCATCAGCCTCCTGGAGGACAGCAGTGGAAAAGCTTGACTGTCTGTCCTCCCAGCCAAGGCCAGTGTAGGCCAACCAACGGGCATCAGATGATCAAGCCATCTGAGACCAAAGAAACCTCCTAGCTAGACTAGGTAAATGGGTGACCCTGTGGCTCTGAGAATTAAGCAAATGCTTATTACTGAAAACCTGAATTTCGGGGGTAGTTTATTATATAACTCACTGTAAAAAGAGCTAACAGATGCAGCCTCTTCTGGATTGCTGAAAGAAATGGGTTTTTGTTTTGATAGCAATGTGCCAGTCCTAAGAAGTGACTCATGACCAGGAAGAGCCCATCAGTGCCAACCCCATTCCCAAATGACAGTGTTTAGAATAGTAGGCATGGTCTCACTGAGCTATACAGGGCTCTCTTCTAAGTGATTCCTAGACAGATTTTCTTCCTTGATAAGAGGAATGAGTCACGTTAAGATGGATCCCTTTGGCCCTTCCTGCCTGCCTGCCTGGCTATCTTAGTGTGAGGAAGGGATGTTTGGAGAGATAGCAACTTCACTGTGACCAAGAGGGAACGCCAAGAGGCCTATGGCAGGACTGATCCAGCTCTTTGATTTTGTCACACTGCTAAGCCAGCCCCAGCAAGGCTCGTTCCTAGCTGTCAGTGATACAACTAAGCAGCACATGCGTAGGCCACTTTGGACTGGGTTGTCCCTTACTCATAGCCAAAACTTCCCACTGGAAAGAACCCCCACGGCAGGCACAGTCAGAACCTGCTCTAGTGTACCTCCCAGGCCCTGGGTACAACGGGCCACAAGCTGTCCTGCCTCTCACAGCGGCCTGACTCTGGGAACACGCTTCTCACCATCTGCTACTCACTTTTGAAGTCGTATCACTGCTTGGATCCAGCCCCTGATCCCTAGGACTACTTATCTTCTTGTCTAAATCCTTTCTCTTATTGACTCCCTTATGTTTAAAACTTTTGAACTGTTTTAAAATGCTTAGAAATCAAATCGAATTGTGCTAATTAAAAAAAAGAGTGTACTGGGTACAGGTTATGGGTGAAAGGATGATGCTTTCATCCCTTCTTTCTTCCTCCTCCTCTTCCCCTTCTTTTTCCTCTTCCTCTTCCTCTTCCTCCTCCTCCTTCTTCATTTTCTTCTTCGATTAGCCAACAGTAATTCCATGCCATCAGAGGTAAGGACTAAATGGTGTGCCTGCATTCAGGGCTAGAAGCTCTGGGGACAGGGGGTGCTAGCCTTGCATCAGCTGGGACCAGCCCCACTGGCACGGCGCCTGTCGTCCTGCCATGGCTCCCCTTCCTCTGCAAACCCTTCCTGTCCCTGCCCAGCCTGGAGGCTCAGCCCCGCTGGTCAGTGGTATATGCTGGTCAGCTCTTCAGCATTCTGCTCACATCTGTGTCTTCCCTTCTGTTCTGCCCCTGTGCTCTCTCCCAAGAGACCCCTCTGATACAGCCCTGTTTTCTTCCTGCCGGTCTAAGATAGCCAGCTCTGCTTCAGTCTGCTTGCTCCTGATTGACCCTCTGGCCTGTTTTTCTGATTTTGTCCTCCTGTTCTCCGTACTTGATCCCTCTCTTTAATCCAGACTCTCGTCTCACCATGACTGCCGTGCAGGCGTCCTTTGGCTCACGCAGCTTCCTTTGCTAGGCCCGCCCTCACCTCCTCCCCCCACACCCTGACCTTCCATCTGCACACCTGGCCTCAAGTATTCAAATATCTTGCCTGCTCTGGTGTGCTGGCGCAGACTAACCAAGGCCTTGGAGCGCTTCTCCTGTGCCTCCAGCTCTGACTATATGCATGTGTCACAGTACTTGACACTAAATTCTGATGGCCTGGAATCACCAAGGACCGCTGGACAGGTACCCACTCTTCTATGCTATGATTAACTACTCAGAAAATGGGTCAGTGTCTTTACTTCTTCATCCTCACACTTTCTCCTGGAATTTTTAATTAGAGTTTAATTCAACTTGATTTTCAATTCTATTGAATCCAATCCAATCCAATTCAATTCAGTTCAACCAGTGTTTGAAAACAGCGACATTGCACCAAGTCCTGTACTGAACCCTGAGGGAATAAAGACCGTGTAATCTGGGGGCAGAGATGGGCTCAGAGGTAGACATCATGCACACTGGAGAGCTAAGACAGATGGCACCTCAGAGCTGCAGAGCTGTGGGCGGGTGGCGAGGCAGAGTGGGCAGAACTGTCCCTCCAGGCAGACCCTCCTGCTGGGGCCGCTTCCAAGGACCTCCTGTCTGGTGCTTTAGGTATAGTAGGAACTCAGTGGATATTGGCAGAATCCTGAGATAAATACACAACTTTCTTGCTGTCTCTTTGGAGAGCTTCCCGCCCAACTATTCCCTCTGCCCATTAGGAGGTAATCAAGAGCTGACATGAATCACAGGCACCGGAGAGCTGGAGGGCTCTTCGGAGACTGGATGCTGCAGCTCTTGACAAGTGAAAGAGTGAGGCCAGACGGGTTAAGTGACTCGCCAAGGTCACTCTTTCGTAAGAGGCCAGGCTAAGCAACGCCTTGGGATTGAGTCCTTGGAAAGAGAGAAGAGCGGAGAAGAATCAGCTCCATGCTGGCTATGAGCGAAGGCTTTAGACCCAACCAGGCCTGCAGGTGTGTGCTGGCTCTGATGCTAGCTGCATCCAAGCTGCATGCGAGCCTTGCTGAGCCTCGGTTTCTTCATTTCTAATGGATCGCTCCAGAGACTCACGGAAATGAACAGAGAGCACTCCTACACCTCTTGGTTCACTGCAGACAAGCCGTGGTCTGTCTTAGTACACAAGGCCGGGAGCATTCTTCTGTCACTGCAGGGGCTGACTTGAGGCTGACTGTGGATGTGGAAGGGCCTGGAAAAGGGCCCCTTCTCCCTCTCCCCCCACTTACTTAGGCCCACCCCCTACATCTCCATATTCAGTTTCATGGAGACAGCAGTGTGGTACCCAGTCCGTGTTCCCATCTACACCGACCTTGCCAAGAGCAAGGTGGGGGTTTTAGCCATCCAGGTATCCACAGCTCTCAGCAGTGGAGGAGTTGACAAGGAAAGGCCTAGAGTGCATTTGCTAGATTTGTTAGTGGATATCTGTTCTGGGCCCACACTAAGGGGCTTGGGACCCAGAGATAGGGGGTAACACACTGTCTTAGAGATTTCAGGGAGGTGAGTCCCAGGCTAGATGAAGAAGGTTAGACAGGACTGCTCCAAGCAAGTCCTCTGCAGAAGAATGCTGTCATGAGTGCCAACTGGGCAGGGGTGTGAGACAGATCCTCTTCTGCAAAACTGGTCTTGGCTGGGTCACACTGTATGTCTGCATATGTGTATGAATGCACATAGCAACAAGTGTGTTACAGGCACAGGTGCAAAGGTGGCCAGAATTTACTTCTGTAAGCACAGTGGGCCAGGCACATGCCAACATTATGCTCTTTAGCCCCCACACTTTGTAGATGAGGCAACCGAGACCCATGAGTGGGTACACAGGTAGCAAATAGGATAGCTGGGATAGAGACCGGGTGATTTGGCCTCAGCATGTACACATGGAACTTCAGGTCATACCGCAGGGCCTCTGGGTGTGACAGCAGAGGGGTTGGCTGCAGATGGGAATGTGAGGGTGGGAGAGCATGGGAAGGTGTGGAGGCTGTGCAGGTGTGCATGACAGGTGGGCTGGGTGCTGAGTGCAGATCGGAGCCCTCCTGCAGGGTGGAGGCTGGAGGTGCATGGGGGAAGAAGTGAGGTGCATGTGGATGGCCTGGGGCTGAGCAGGGTGCGTGTGTCCTGCATTCACAAGGATACAATGATCATGGGGCAAAGACGGACTGTGGCTGTAGGACACTTCTTTTTGATGCGTTAGGCAAGCATCAAAGATGAGAGTCTAAAGCTGGGCCTCTGTCCCCTCATGCCCTCCCAGCCCAGCCCAGTCTGACCACCCACCTGTACTGTCGTCGTAGACCACGGTGGCTGACCGCCACTTGAGGTGCTGGACCAGGTCAAGGATGGCGTGGCTGAGTGAGGCATAGTCAGGGTAGAGGTTCACGTAGAAGGTGTCCTTGTTGTCCAGCGGGTGGTGCTTCCAACGCAGCTGGATGTGAGGCACCTCCAGAGCGTTGCAGATGGACTGGACGGCGTTGGTGCAGGAGCCCTGCGACGGCCCGAAGATTGCCACTACGCCCAGCGCCAACTGGTCACAGGCTGCAGCAGTGAGGGAGAGCAGCACAGGGGTAAGCGCTGGGGGTTGTAGGAATGGGGGACAGTGGTTTTGATGGTAAATCAGTGGGAACAGTACGTGGAACCCTCTGAGGGGGCGTGACCTGCCGTCTCTGAATCTCAGTTTTCTCATCAGAAAAATGAAGGTGCTAATGGCTTCCCCATTCTTTGATCACAGGAAGGTAAGAGATGGATACATGAGGTACAGGAGTGCAGTGCCTGGCCCTTGGGACACACGCCACACAGGTGTGCTGGTCATCTGTGTTGTCCTAGCCATCATCACCAGCTCCATGCCAGGCCTCTCCCCAGGGAACTTGGAAGCACAGGCATCTACCGTCCAATGACTTAAACTTCAGCCTCCAGCCTTGATTTGGCCAGCTCCTCTCTTTCCCAACATCATCCCTGAGATCTCTAAGGTGACTCTGAGATGAACACGTGCAAAATTAACCTCCTTTTCTCCTCCCAGCCCCCCTCATCTCTATCAAAGGCACCTGCACTGTCAGTGACTCTCTTGCCCAAAGCCTTGGCTTTGTTCTGACTTCTCTGGTTCCCTCGCATACCACATCCTGGTCCATTTCCCGCTGCTTCTCCTGCAAAATCAGTCACATCCTGACCACTTCTCCAGCTGCCATTCCTAGCTCCCTCCTTAGTCCAATTACCACAGTCTTGCACTTGGACTGTCACAGCTCAGTCATCCTTCCCAGTGTCTATTCTGCCCTGCAGAGCAAATAAGTGCTGTCAGCATATAAGATTTTGCTTCAAATGGCTCCATGTTACTCAGTGAAAATAGACATACTAATATGCAACAGAGATGAACCGCTTTTGCATGTTGGAGGCTCCATGTTACTCAGTGAAAATAGACATACTAATATGCAACAGAGATGAACCGCTTTTTGCATGTTGGAGGCTCCATGTTACTCAGAGCCCTTACAGTGGCCGAAGAGGTCCGATTTGTTGCAGCTCCTCCCGTCCCTGTTCATCTCATCATCTTTTTGACTGTTCTCCCTTCCTTCCCTCCCTCCCTAGGAGCACAGACCCCCCACTGACTTCCATGGTGTTCCTCAAGTACATTAAGCATACTCCTGCCTCAGGCAGGGCCTTTGCACTTGCTGCCCCCTGGCTGGAATGCTTTCCTCTCATCTGCCAGCGTGACTCTCTTTAATTTCCCTCAGATCTCTGCCTCTGTGTCTTATTAGAAAGGTCACCATTACCCAACTTCTAAGAGCAACCCCAGTCTCAGCACATGTCCTAAGTCCTGCACCTTGTAGTCTCACTGTTGACCTTCTCCTTCCCTAGCATGTCAGCTCTGAAGAGAAAAGTGGTTCATCTCTGCTGCATATTAGTATGTCCACAGTACTTCAGCAATGTCTGAGAAATGGATGAGCACCAAATTGCAGCCTTCAAACAGGCTGTGATCATGGGGTGACCCCAGGTCAGGCCTCAGATGCTTCCCACTGGACTGGGATGGCCCAACATCAGTGACTCAGTACAGCATAGGAAGCTGGGGTCCAGAGGGGATTTTGCCTAAAAATCCCAGGAAAAGGACCCCTCCTGTACAATCATGGAGGAGGGCTCCCCTTTCTTCTAGCAGCTGCCTCTAGGTCTCTGTGCCCATTTCCATCCTGTGCAGAGGAGTAGAGCATGTCCTATGCACCTAGGATACATGGGGGAAGATCCTTGAAAAGCACTTGGAGTGAACACGCTGTGGTCCACCACATCCTGGCTGCCTCAAGGGCTTCTGGGAGTGACTTTCTGGGCACAGGCCAGCCCCTGAGATTTGTAGGACCCAGGATCAAAGTATAGATAGAGACCCACATGCCATGAGACTAAACATTTAAATGGAAGTCAAACTAGTAAACTGTTAAACAAAACACATACTTTCTGTCTACCTTGCTATGTGTGCTTTTGTAATGGCCTGGAAAATCAGGTGACAACAGAGATACCTCATACAGGGCAATGTGGAGAGAGGAGGTGCCCAGCCCCTAGCTTGTCCCACTGGCTCCATCTTGAACCAGGAGAACTTGGCACCTTCCATGTGGGCACCCCAGCCCTTCTGCTCCAGGGTTGCCCCCCACCCCCGGGGCCTGGAGGTATGCTCCTTACAAGAAGGGCTCTCCTTCCAGAGGATAGACCCTGGGAGAAGGACATCCAGGCCCTGAGGGCTGGTCAGGGCCACTTGGGCATGAAATTCGGGGTTCTACACAAAAGACCAGCAGGCTCTTGAAGGCTGAGTCTCCTTGGTCACAAGATGACTGTCCTGGGAAAATAGGATGGCCAGAGGACAGGGAGCCCCTCCAGTGTACAAGGTAGTGCCAGCTGACCCAGATATGCGCAGTAGATTTGACTCTTTGACACATTGTTCTTCTTACCTAACACTCAATATTAACCTCACCGCCTCTTGGAAATGGGCATTATAGAGTAATTATTTTTCCTGAAATTTCTACTTTCTCTAAGGATATCAGAGCATGCTACTTAGGGCCTGGGTGAAAACACAGCAGCATGGGAGCTGGCTAGGCGTGGCCAGGAGGCTGTCAGAGCCCCCTAGAGCATAGGCGGCAGCAGAATTAGCACGGAGAGCATCTCCTGGGAGACGGGGACTCCTGTGGCCAAGACCAAGGCAGAGGAGGATGCGGAGTGGAGGACATGTATCTTCCTTGTGCTCCTACAGCACGAGGACTAGAGGTCAGGGCGGCAAAGCACAGGTTTGTGGCATTCAAGTCAAGCCCTGGGTACCCTTTTATGTGACTGTATGTGAGACAAACCCCAGTGATAATAAATGCTTCAAATATAGGAAATTATCAAACTTAGGAACAGTCTGCCTTTTCAATACTCACTCCCCAAGGACACTGTGCCCCAAGGCCATATGCAAGCCACTCTGTAGCTGTTAAAACTGGGTCCCAACATGGAACAGATGGTCATAGGGAGCAAGTGATAGTTCTCCAGGCCTGGACACTCAGTCTTGTCCACGCCTGAGGCTGTGGTCATCTTACACTATCTGTAGGATTCTCCTAATCTACCTGTGCTCTGAACCTCCCAGCTGTCCTCTGATTTCCCTGCTTCCTGTCCCAGAACTTCTTGTCTGTCTTGTCTTTTACACCTGAAGACTTGGATGAAATACTTATATGTCTCTATCCTTCCCACCCTGCTTCTAAGAATGTGCCTCTTGGACTTTCCACTTTGATCAGTGCCTTGAAGCAGGCTAGAAGAGGCCATTGCACCTCTCCTAACCTCATATATCCCAGTCTCCCAGATCTTGTCCACTCCCAAGGTCCGGGAGTTCTGTGTGACTGAGGCAGCGGAAAGCAGACCAAAAAAAATCATGTTGCATACGATTATAAGAATGCCCTTGAAGAAAGTTTTGTTTGGATATTAATAGGATAATGGTAAAGGTAACTTTAAGAGCAATTGTGATAGTGAAGGCCACATCACAAGAGTGTAGACCATAATGGTGGTGGTATAGATGAAGGTGACATTGTTGGTTATACTGTGACAGCAAGAATGGGATGCTAGTGTTGATGCTGATGTTCAGATCAATGATAATGATGTCAATCAATGTTAACACTTAATGGCGATGGCAGCCATAGTACCAACAGTGAGACAACAGTGCTACAAGCGTTGAGGAGGGAAGAGGTGACAATAGTGGTGATGGTGATGACAGCATAGGTGGGATGTTGACAGTGATGCTGAGGAGACTGAGGATGATCAAGATGTTGCTGCCATGGCAACAATGGTGATGAGGATCCTAGAAGTGGTGATGCTGATACTGACTTAAATGGAGTCACACGATAACAACTCTGATGGTGCTGAGATCAGCGACGATGAAGATGTGAATGCCATCACGGCAGCAGAAGTGATGAAAGCAGGAAGGGTGGTGATTGTGGCATTGATGAGGCTGGCAGTGATACCGATGTTGCTGTCCTACTGGTAACAAAGATGGTGGGGGCAGGGGTGGTGACAGTGTTGCTGACATTGTTGAGTGAAGGTGATGCCACCATGGATGGGGATGATACTATCAGGAGGATGGTGGTGCTGCTGTATTGGTGTCAACAGATGTGACAGTGGTGGTGATATTGTGTTGATGACACCCACATGGGTTTCATTTTTCCACAGATGTGATCAGTCCTCATTGTTGGCCGGCAGGAGATGTCCGCCCTGCCCTCCATGTATTTCCTCCCTGTGGCCTCTCCAAATCCCTTTGCCTGGCCCCTCACTTTCCTTCAGTTCTCTGAGGATATTCTAGCCTGGAAGATGAATGCTACCCCCAAGGACCAGGGCAGGGGTTGCCGCAGCAGCACCACCAGCAGCAGTTTTCTCTCTAGATGTTTCCAGGGCAGCAGCCAACCCTTGTTCTGGCAGCCCTGAGCACACACTGCAGTAATTACATTATTTGTGGCTTCAATTTTGAATCCATTTTCTGGTCATTTTACAGTAACTCATGGTTCACAGGCATTGCAGGAGTCCCCAGCCTGAATGTACCCCCCCTCTTCCTTTCCATGGCAATTGTAGTTGTAGCAAAAATTATCCCAATCAATTTGTGTCTTAAAAAGAATTGAGCAGCCCAGAGAATAAGTGAAGGCAGCAGAGCCTGGGGAGTGCTGGGTCGATTCCAGGCCTGCTCTGGTCAGACTTAGAAGAAACCACAGATGTTCTCTGGGTTGTTGGCTCAGGTACTGCCTGGCAGTCACTCATCTTTTAATTTTCCACAAAACATTTCAAAATAGACAATAAGTGAAGGTCCCTTTTAATAGGGAAAGGCCTCCTGGGACTCATGCAGGGAGAAGGACTAATGCAACGAGAGCTGGTAGGGTAGGTGGTGCCAGGCTCTATGCCTTCATGTCCCCTCACCCACATGGCCCAAGGTGGCTAGATCCAGTGTGTGTGTGGGGTGGTGGTGGTGATGGTGGGAATAGAAACTTCCATCTAGGGAAAATGGATTATCATTGGATTAATCAGAATTAGGCTTAAGTGCATGGATTAATCAGAAT